ATTTCTGAAGAAGGGTCTAGGCCCGAAACGTCAGCTTTCCTGCTCCTATGATGCTGCTTGGCCTGCTGTGTTCATCCAGCTCTACACCTTGTTATCTCAGATTCTCCAGCATCTACAGTTCCTACTATCTCTGCTATGGAAAAAATTGTGATATTATCAGCAGCTATAAATAAAACATTTATCTAGCCACAAGAAAGTTTATGTCTTGGAGTGCAATGCATCCTTGCCTCAGAGTCAGTAGCTCCGTCTCTGAGACCCACTCCAATACTTGATGGCCAAGTTCAACATCACTTCCTTGCTCTTGTACTCTATGCCCCTACTAATAAAGCTGAGGATAATGTATTCATTATTAATTGCTCTATCAACCTGTCCTGACATCTTCAATGATCTATGCACAGATACATCCATGTCTACCTGTTCCTGCACCCCCTTGATAATTCTACCCCCATTTTATATTGCCGTCCAGTGTTCTTCCTACCAAAGTGCATCTCCTCATACTTCTCTGCATCAAAATTCATCTGCCACCTATCTGCCCACTCCACTAAATTGTCTATGAACCTTCGGAATTCCACACAGCCCTCCTCACAACTTATAATGCTTCCACGTTTCAAACTTTGAAACTGTACCCTCCACACCAAGATCCAGATCATTAACATATATCAGGAAAAGCAAGAATTCCAAACTGAACTCTTGAGAACTCAACTGCAAACCTTCCTCCAGCTCAAAAGTATCCATTGACCTATTCAGAGATAGTAGGAACTGCCGATGCTGGAGTCTGAGATAACAAGGTGTGGAGCTGGATGTACACAGCAGGCCAGGCAGCATCAGAGGAGCAGGAAAGCTGATGTTTCGGGTCGGGACCCTTCTTCAGAAATGGGGGAGGAGGAGGGGGCTCCAAAATAAATTGAGAGACGGGGAGGCAATGATAGAAGGTGGATAGAGGAGCAGATAAGTGGAGAGCAGACGGACAGGTCAAGGAGGTGGGGATGAAGCCAGTACAGGTGAGTGGAGGTAGGAGTTGGAATGGGGGTTGGTCAGTGAGGAGGGAGAGGTGGGTAGGTGGGAGGGAAGACAGACAGGTCAAGGAGGTGGGTATGAGGCTAGCAGGTAGGAAGTGGGGGTGGGGGTTCGTCAGTGAGGTGGGAGGAGCGGATAGGTGGGGGAAAAGATGGACAGGTCAAGGAGGCGGGGACGAGATGGGCTGGTCTTGGGATGCGGTTGGGGGAGGGGAGATTTTGAAGCTTGTAATGTCCTCATTGAAACCATTGGGCTGCAGGGTTCCCAGGCGGAATATGAGGTGCTGTTCCTCCAGCCTGCTGGTGGCATCGTTGTGGCACTGGAGGAGGCCCAGGATGGACATATCGTCCAAGGAGTGGGAGGGGGAGTTGAAGTGGTTCGTGACTGGGAGGTGTTGTCATTTGTCGCGAACCGAGCGTAGGTGTTCCACAAAGCGGTCTCCAAGCCTCCGCTTGGTTTCCCCGATGTAGAGGAGGCCACAACGGGAACAGCAGATACAGTATACCACATTAGCGGATGTGCAGGTGAACATCTGTTTAATGTGGAAGGTTTTCTTGGAGCCTGGGATTGGGGTGAGGGGGCAGGTGTAGGGGCAGGTGTAGCACCTCCTGCGGTTGCAGGGAAAAGTGTCGGGGGTGGTCGGGCAAGTGGGGAGTGTGGAGCTGACAAGGGAGTCATGGAGAGAGCAGATAAGCAGATAAGGGTGGGGAGGGAAATATATCCTTGGTAGTGGGGTCAGATTGCAGGTGGCGGAAGTGGCGGAGAATGATGCGTTGAATCCGGAAGTTGATGGGGTGATACGTGAGGACAAGGAGAATTCTGTCTTTGTTATTATTGCGGGGAGAGGGTGTGAGGGCTGAGGTGCGGGAAACGCGAGAGATGCGGTCGAGGGCGTTTTCGACCATTGGCCTATGACTCTCTTTCCTATCACTCAGCAAATTTTGACTCTTTTATTCCAAGACCTATAACTTTCCTCACAAGTCTGTTGTGCGACGTTATATTAAAATCTTTCTGGAAGTCCTTGTACACCTCAACAACAAAGTTACCCTCATCGAGCCTTTCTGTTGCATCTTGAAAAACTCTAAGTTAGTTGAACACGATTTCCCCTTTAGAAATTCACACTGGTTCTTGCTAATCAACCCACTGTTTTCCAGATGATTGCTAATTCTATCCCAAATAATTGAGTCTAGAAGCTTCCACCACTGAAGTTAAATGGACTGCTCTGTAATTGCTGGGATTATTCTTATAACCTTTGTTGAGAACATCATAATGTTTGCAACTTTTCAGTCTTCTGACACCTCCCCTGAGTCCAGGGAAGACTCAAAGATTCTGCCCACTGCCCCAGCAATTTCCACTCTCAATTCCTTTTAAATTCTTGGATACATCTTATTGGTCACGGTGCCTTGTCAACTTTAAATACCAACAATATATCCAACACTTCAACCTTATGAATTTTGAACCCTTCTAGTCACAGTGGTTTATGTTCTTTGTCATCATGGCCTGGGTAGTGTCTCTCTTTTTGGTAAAAATGATGCATAGTATTCATTTAAAACCTCAGTCCTGTCTCTTTTTGGCCCCTAATGGCCTTACTCCTCCTCTTACCAATTTTTTGCTATTAAATGTTTATAGAAGATTTTCAGACACCCTTTATGTTGGCTGCCAGTCTTTTTTCATAATTTCTCTTTCCTTCTCTTATTTCCTTTTTCACTTCCCCTCTGAACCTTGGGTATCCCTCTTGGTTCTCAATTTAATTTTACACCTGACAACCTGTCATAAGCACACTTCTTCTCCCAGGGAGTTCTGGATTTGTTTGTCCTACCTTTCCCATTTGAGGAAATATACGTAGACTGAACCCAAAACATTTCCTCTTTGAACGTAGCCCATTGTTTACACAGCAGTTTTCTTGCCAACCTCTCAATCTAGAGTAGCTGGCACAACTCCATTCTTGCCCCATTGATGTCTGCTCTCTGACAATTGATTTTTCCCACTCTGAATTGTCGCACATCATTCTCTACCATCATCCTCATTCTTACAAATATATTGATCATTGTCTCCTAAATGCTACCCCACTGATACTCAAAATAATTGGTCCATCTCATTTTCAAGCACCAGCTCCTATGGTGCATCCTTTCTTGTCGGACTGACCACATACTATTCTAGGAAGCTCTCCTGAATACAATCCAGGAACACTTGCCCCTCACTACACTACAAATATCCAAGTCGATATTTCGGTAATTATAGTCTCCTCTTATAATTACTCTATAGTGTCGGTATCTCTGGGTAATTTTCCTGCGGATTTATTCCTCTACATTCTTTCCACTACTGTATTTGGTGGTCTGTAGACTGTACCTAGAAATGTAATTGTACTCTTTTTATTCCTCAGTATTAGCTATATTGATTCTGTCCTTGGATTCTCTAAGACATCTTTCTCCAGTGCTACAACGTACTCCTCAACAAATACTGCTGCCCTCCTCCTTTCTTTCATTTCCAATATTTTCTGAACACCTTGTACCTAGTTTGCCCTTCTTTGAGCTAGGCTACTTTCCACTGCTTTCTCTGAAATTACCTGAAAAGTTTCCTGGTCCATTTTTGGATAGAGGACATCTATCCTGCTGTCTAACTCAAGACCTTAAGTGATCTGACTGAGAATGTTCTGTAAAAACCAAAAGAAGTGTGGATGCTGTAAGTCAGGAGCAAAAACGAAGTTACTGGAAAAGCTCAGCAGGTCGGGCAGCATCTGTGAAGGAAAAAACAGAGTTCACGCTTCAGGTCACAGATGCTGCCCGACCTGCTGAGCTTTTCCAAAACTTTGTTTTTGTTATTGAAAATGTTGTGTAATCTGTTTTCTTTCTTGGATCCAAGACATTTCTGCAATGAATTTAAGTTTTGGCTCAACGCAAAATCCAGCTCTGCTTTTAAGAAATGCAGGTTTGATTTAAGTAACACTGTCTAACTGAAATCTGTGCTTACCTCTCAAGAGTGTGTAGCCCCTCATCAACATACTTAGCACTGATTGCATGCCCTAGTCATCATAAACAACAGGCAGCACAGAGTTTCTATGCTGTTTGCATTGCAATCATCATGCATTTCAATACTATTGCCCATTTTCAGGCCTTATCTAACTTAACTCATCTTCCTTGAAATCCTCCATATCATCTTTTCATCTCAGTGACAGACTTCGAAACATGTCATTTCATGTTGGATACAATCCAGCATTATGTGGGAGATTTGGATTACATTCAAGAGCGGACAAAATATCTGGGCTAATTTTTCAGCTAAATGTTGTCAATGTTTTGGTTTTTGCCTGAGTGTTGTGAAAAGATTTTATGAATTTCAAACGAAAAGATATCCTCTTAACCCATAAATTTAACTGTTTCTGTTCTCTAATTGTTCTCTTCAATGAAAAATGGGGCAAATAAAAAATGCAAGTACTGTAAACTATGCAATGCTGAGAACTGATAAGAGTTTTCAAACAAAACATTGGAGGGGATATGTATCAGATTTTAAGATAGGGGTCTGATGGTCGGAAAGAAACCACAAGAAGATGGTGAAACATACTGAGAAAAGCAATATGTAAAAAGAAGATAAATTAGATAAGTGATTGGATTTTTGACCTACTTACTAACCAACTATATACTACTAACAATATTTTCCATTTTTGAGTTAGCTATTATTATTAACTTTGAAGTGTAGTTTGTTCATGTCTCCAGTTTCAAAGATAGTTTCATCATAGTGTCAGCAGAGTGGAATGCCTGATTTATCATGAGTCCAAGAGGTACTTTTAGCCACAGTTAAACTCACAGTGCGTATTATGCTTCTCTGATGGCCCAGTGGGTAGACACATCATCCACTGTAATGCTTATCATTCAAAAAGAAAATATTAGTACTCTGATTACTGCAAAAAAGTTGTTCCAAGTTAATTGATGGTGGCCCAGTTTTGAGGCTCCACAATTTTACTTGTGCTTTTGAATGGGAAGTAAAAACAAAATGGCATTACTGCATGCAATTCCAACAACTGACTCATTACAAGAAGTTTTGGAGTTTCAATATGTAAGAATGACAAGATTAGGCACAGCCTTGCTGTGCCCTGTCTCCCTGTCATTCACTCACTTGAGACACCAACATTCTAGAACCTTAATCCAACCTAAATCACCAGAGGCAAAAAATTGGAACAGACACTGACATAAATTATTTTAATTAACCTGTGTAGATGTTACAACACATCTCAGGTGCAAATTGGACTTGAGCTCAGACCTTCTGGCCTAGAGGTATCAACATTACCACTACACTTTATTAATTGCTGATACATGTCATCTTCCAATACAACTGATATAGATAGCTAGTAGAAGATCAACTTTGATTTGTATGTTTAGGCCTTTTTTTTTCTCCCTCCCATCTCCTACTCTCACAGTTCAACAGTGTCATAAGCCACAATTTCCTCAAAGCTGCTTCAGTTCAGAGTCCAAAAATATTTCTTAAACTAACACTAATGGAGCGGCAGAAATTCTAATGAAATTCCCAGCCAGGGGATTGCTACACAAAAATAATATACTCAGTCTTCATATTAATATTGGCTAGATTAAAAATGGGAAAATATGTCATCTGATTTTCTTCATCTATTCCATATTAGTTTTTTCAAATTATCGTTATTTGTCTTATTCTTAAACATACCTGGGATTAAATTCAGCCTATCTTCGGTGTATTTCTTGTAGTCTTGAAATAAAATACATCAATTAATGTTAAAAGCTTTAGTTACATTGAGAAATGCCTTATTATTTACACTTTTTAAAATGTAGAAACATTTCTGCATGAAAGATTTTGAATTCTGGAGTGGGCGTTGATTCAAAGGTTCTCTCAATGACTGAAAATTCCTTTAACTGGTGTTGCTCAGCCATCATAAATTCATTGGAACACAGTAGGAACCCCTTTTAGCAACAGTATTGATTTCTATTGCTCCATTGAACTTAAAGCAGCAGAACAAGAACAACTACAAGGAAATTGCAAACTAATACTTTCACTTTGTTCCCACATTTTGATAAATGCAAGTAAGCAATAGAATACAAGAACAGATTGTGATGGGCCAAATCTTCTTGTCTTTGGCTCACTGGAGACTGAATATTCAACCAAAGATTTGTGTCAAGGCCTGTGGAGGTTCTGATACACTGACCTATAAAGGAATTGGCTGGGAACTTTGAACTTTTGATAAATACTGGGGACTAGAACTAAGGAGATCATTTTAAATTAGAGAGTTGCCCTTTCAGGACAGAGATGAGGAGAACTTTTTTTCTCTCAGAGAGTCTTGCAACTCGGAACTCTCCGCCTCAAAAGACAGTTAAGGCAGGGTCATTGATACTTTTAAAACAGAGGTGGATAGATTTTTGATTGTTGGGGGAAAATAAGGGTTGTTGGTCCAGCTGGGAATATGGAATATGGAATATGGATCAGTCATAATTTTACTGAATAATGGTGCAGGAGCCAAATGATTTACTTCTGTTCCCGTTTCATATTCATTCACTGAATCCCGACAGTGTGGAAACAGGCCCTTCAGCCCAACAAGTCCATACCAACCCACAGAACATCCCACCCAGACCCATCCCCCTATTACCCACCTAATCTACACATCCCTGAACACTACGGGCAATTTAGCATGGCCACTCCACATCTTTAGACTGGAAACCGGAGCACCTGGAGGAAACCCACACAGACATGGGGAGAACGTGCAAACTCCACACAGACAGTTGCCCGAGGGTGGAACCGAACCCAGGTCCCTGGCGCTGTGAGGCAGCAGTGCTAACCTCTGTGCCACCCCATATGTTTGGATGTCTTTCTGGTGAATATCATTTCAAATCAGATGGAAGTGTGAAACCAGCTCAGCATCTGCAAAGGAGAAGTCTAGCTGCCTTCAAGTCCACCCTGAAAGACAAGGTAGAAGAGCCGGAAGAGAAAGGGGTATTAAAAAAGTGACGACTCTGACAGACTGGAATTATAGCTTGGTGCCAATGAATAAATCTAGAAAACTGCAAGTGTATAAATAACCAAAGTTTCTCATTAAGACTGAAAAAAATCTCACTACCCATGCCAACCATTTAAGAAAGATTACCAGAAATTTCCAAGATAGCACTCTGCAAACGATGGTTACTGGGAAATCAAATTTCCACTGCTTCAGAAAAAGATCAGCAGAGACAGCTTGTGATAGGCAGAGTGAAAGTGATTGTAGATAATCTGCTACTCTGTGATTGTGGAGACACATTTTTACAATCACAAAAGAGAGACTTATGCAACTGCTAAAAAGAGCTCACCAGATGAACCTAAACAAGAAAAAGATGAAATTGAAGATGCCAGCAGTCAATTTCATGTATAAGGTGAGAGCTGTAGCAGACACACAGTGACCAACAGATGTGAAAACAATACGATGATTTGTTGGAATTGCGAGCTTTTTAGCAAAGTTCTTGCCTAATTTGTAATCAGAGTGTGAACCACTGTGCAAGTTCACTGCTGAAGATGTGAGATGATACTAGGGTACAGAATAAGAAGCAGCTTTCACTAGAATCAAATTAGTATGACAATGTCAGTGCTGAGGTACTATAACATAAATGATGAAGTCACTTGTTTTGAGATGCTAGTGAGACAGGACTTAGAGTCACCTCTATGTAGGAAAAAAACCCATTTTTATTGGCATCCACTACATTAATACAAACTCAATGGTGCTACACTTAAATAGAGACGAGGCCTAGTGAGGTTTCTTGCACTATCATACCAAATGCCCTCGTTAACCATTTACCGCACCAATACGGTGCACTTCTCATCCAATGCTCGTTGGATTTTCCCACTTGTCGGAGCTAAAAGAACTCTCTCCTGTCTGGATATGCCAGAATAAACTGGCATTCCTGGCTAAGGTAGTATTTTTAAAACTTCATTGCACACCCAGACAAGCAGTGGCATTCAAAGCTGCCTTGCACAAACTAGCAGCAAGCATGGCAAATAACAGGAAATGGGCCCCACAATTTGACAACACAGTCCTCAATGTCCTAGTGGGTAGAGTGGTGTAGAGGAGGTCCACCCACTTCTCCCTGAACTGCCAGAGGAGGCCACAACACCAGACCCTGCCAGCCTGGACTGAGATTGCCAACATGGTAAGTATGATCTCAATCATTCAGAGAAATGCTCAGCAATGCAAAAAGAAGGTTAATGATCTTCTCCAATCTGCCAGGGCAAATGCCACCACCTTCCCTCACTACCTCACATCATTTGTCCTGCATGCATTTCCACCATGGCATATGCTGCATCCCTGTCACTTTCGCATGTAACATCTTCCTTCACCCCAACGATACTGCATGCCTTCTCCCTTGTCTATTCACCCTCTCAAGTCACCTAAAAGCCCTTCCTTCTCGTATCAGCACTATTAGATGTGCCAGACATTTCCATTGCACTCAATCCTTCCTATTCTCTCATTACAGGAGGAAACAAGTAGCAAACACGAGTGGTGATGTGCCTGACATCCAGCTCCGCATCCCCTACGTGGACAGGATTGTGGCCCTGGTTGGAAAAGACTGGTATAGATTGTATGGAGATGCTGAGACATCTATGACTGCACAACTGAGCAAAAAACACTTTTCTTGCAATAAGTTCTCTCATTAAGCCCACTGTCGATGTAGTTTTCACTTGCCACAATTTATAACCCCGGGCTGTGACAATTTTATACTTTGCAAGTGCCAGCGCATGGCCAGGCAAGACGGTGTCAACGGCACACATGATCATAAAAAAAGCCATAATTCCCTCAAAGGATGCACTGCTCAGAAACTGACACTTCACTGGGTAGTTTAGCTAGAGTATAAGCAGGAGCACAGGCTGACGACCACTTCACATCCACACTTCCATAACTGGATGAGGAAGAAATAGTCAGGGTCTCTAGCACTCAGAGGATTGCTGGAGACCAAGTATCCACTCAGCCCCAGGCAGATGGTGATGCTGGCCATTCATAACTTCATACAAATGTGCAAGCAGTCTCAGCAGGCACGTTAGCCACAAAGTGCAATGATTGTAGGAATGTAGCAATGCCATTGGGACCTTGCTGCCTCAGGCATGTGATCATCTAGCCACATCCCTGCATAAACTGGCAGCTACCATTGACAGCCAGGTTCAGTAGTCTCAGAGTATACTGGATATATATAGGAGTCTACAGTCCACTACCTTAGCCATTTGTGCCATCACCAATGGCTAGGTGACAGGGGGTGAGGATGCTTGACCACACACTAGAGTGCCCCTTCCTCACAACGACACTGTCAGTAGCCACTGAGCTAGAGAAGGAACTGTGCACAGGCCTCCAGTAAGCTCCTCCCAGGACTCCAAGGTGAGCAGGCCTTCCACCTCCACTATGCCTGTCACCTTCAGGCTAAGCTTTGGAGGGTGCACTTGTCTCCGTCAAGTTCATTCAACATGTTTGTGCCTTTTAGACACAAATATCCCTGGAGTCAACTGACCAAAGCACCAGGGCCAATGGACTTCACCGTATGGCAGGCTCCCTCCACCCGAGCTGCTGACTGAGGGACTACACTGAGACATAATGGAAAAGAGAAACATTTCAATGGCACATTGATGGCATGGGTGACACTTGATTTCTAAATATACATTCACTTCTGACTATTATCTTTTTCTGCAAGTGTAGCCAAAAGTCAAACTTTAAGGTATAAAGCTGCTAATCCTTATCCCTGGACAATTCCATGGGCCAAAGTGTGAAGTCAGCAGCTGCTGCACCATGAGCAGGCAATGGGGGAATCACAGGTAACCGTGCCTTGGAAACTGGGCTCCATCTTTCTAGGAGCACAGACATTGCTATTGCATCACAGGCAATAGGAGCGTTCAGACATTAGCCTGCATGAAATGGTCAGGAGTGCTTGATAGAAGGGATTGGACTGCACACCTCAATTCCTAAGGGTCACAAGGAATGCTGAGTTTGCAAGTGTGTTTCACCTTTGTTATAAAAGTGTATGCCTACTGGTGTTGCCCTTTGAATGGCTTCCCCACTGCCTGCTCATGGTGCAGCAGACTCTCCCCTCACAGATGACAACACTTATCACATCCACTTGGAGTGTGGGCGTAGCCACCTTCTGAACTGACGTCATGTGAGCTCCCTGATCCTTTGCACCCAAACTGGATGCCTCATTATGCCCAAGTCCTGAACTAATATTGGAGGCTACCCTTGACTCATTGTGCCGGGACCACTAACTGAGGTGCCTCCTTGGAAATCAGTGAGGACTATTCCTCTAAAATTTTAAGACATGGCTTGAAGTGTATGCATTTGCTGCATATACTGCTTGCACAATGTGACATCAAACTCACACCTGCACTTTTCTAATAATGAAAAAGCTACTGGAGCCAGAAGTGATAACAAATGAGAGTGACAAAATCAAGGTGAAGCTATAGAAAATCAAACTTCATTTTGATAAAACGGTCAAGGCATTGCCAGAGCTGAACATTGGAGAGTCAGACAGAGTGCAAAAACAGCCATCCCACATGACAACTTGAGACCTGTGTTGAGCACATGCCATCTCATTTGTATGTAGTAAATGTGAGCATCTAGATATATTGTTGTAACCACAGACATCTACATACAACTACAGAAACTGTGTCACTGTACGTGTCTGATCAGGAAGATGTGATCTCACTACCTGCACAGAATACAGAATGACTATCAGTCCCAGAAGTCCACTGTGCCCCTTCAATAGAAATGGATCAGCAGCCATGGCAACAGCACTCACCATGGAAGCAACACTCCCTGGAGAAGGAGCACCCTAGGAATAAGCAGATATCAGATGAGCAGCCAATTTATAATGTAGGTTGGTTAGCTAGGTTGGCTGGATGGCTGGTTTGCAAAGCAGAGTCATGCCAACAGCATGGGCTCAATTCCTGTACTGGCTGAGGTTAACATGATGGTTCCTCCTTCTCAATCTCTTCCCTCAGCTGAAACGTGGTGACCTTCAGGTTAAACCACCACCAGTCGTCTTTCTCTTTAATGAAAGTGTAGTCTATGGTGACTTTACATGCATGCCATTAAGAGGCCTACATGATTAAAAGACAATGTAGACAATGCAAGTGCAGAAACTGATGGAAATGATGAGTTAACACAGTTTTATTAATGTGTGATAAATTTCCAATCTTCTTGGTGATCATATATATTTTGCAACTTGCATAACTTGGCTTAATTGCAGTGACAGTGTAACAAGGCTTTTTAATTGGCGATTTAAGGGTCTTAGTTGATGGCGAACTCGGGCAGGGTCATCCAGCCATGACTTAATCAGGCTGAAGACAAGAAGGTAGCCAGGTCTCCATCTGCAATCCTCCAGCCTAAGTGCCCCTTAACAAATTCACCACAGGAAGGGCATGGACACAGGATTATGCCCCATGTTCTGGCAAGATCACTGTAATGGGATTGCAAATGTGTTCTGAGTGTGGTATAATGTGATCATGTAAATCATGATCACACAACTGACCACATGACACTGATCGGTAAGAAAGAAGACACCAGCCTAGAATGAGTAGATGAAGAGAGAGGTCTTAGGACATTTCAGTATATTGCTGCATTTGATAACCATGTACAGATGTGAATGAAGGAGTATCACAATTCATAACAAGTTGAAAAACCTCAGTGATAAGGAGGAAACAGCCTCAGCGACAACGTACGTGCAGATACCCACAGTTTGAGATCCTCTAGACCGGTATCTTAATGCGTAGGCAGCAGTACTGGCTTAACATTGATAAGATATTGAGAGCATCAAAAGCCACCGTGCAAGTAGTTGCACCTCTTGTTAAAAGAAATTGACAAATAAAACCTGTCAAAATGTGGGTTAATATTCTGAATTCTCCATATTCATAAGAATTATTCTGAGAACAACAGCCAAAATCAGTCTGAATTTCCTGTGATAATTTTCAACATGAAGATTATAAGTGAGATAGTTAAAATGATGATAAAATTGGCTCACCTAATAGCAAAATGTCAATAAAAATTATTTTAAAATATTACCATCTTTCTTGGAGCAGTTGAGTACTTTTTCATGTATATAGCAGTAATGTTGACATACAGGGAAATGCGGTCTTATCTAAAATCAATAGTAATAAATAATTTCATTCAATTGTTCATTCAATAAAGAGTTTGGAAAATATAGAATGTTTAGTGTATTGAAGCATTCTAAATTATGATCCCGAGGGAAATCATATTAATAAGGATTACTCACTGTCACGCAATATCCTTCTGAAAGATCCAGTACATCATTCCTCAGAAATGTTATGGATACTCTTGATCTGTTTGACTTGATGAAAAAAAAATGATTTGTTATTAAACAATATGTAACTATTCACAATTCAATTGTGGCAGAGTTCCAACTTTATGGTTTAAAGGTTTTCCCATTTGATGTTTTCCCATTTCTGCGTTTTGGGCTTTTTTCTGCATTATTGCAATTGTAAAGCAGGATTACTTGTTTGAAGGTCCATTCTGGAGCTGTTATCACTCCAGCTGTTGAGAAATCCATCTCATGTGTGATCTCTGCCCTGTATAGGGAAAATACTGAAAAGTTTGATATCTACACAAAGAAGATTACTGATATATTATTATTCATCTAGAAACATTGGAACACCAATCAATTGCATCAGCACAAATCAACTACAAGAAGGTTTCAGAATGACAGAGTATTTTATAAACAATGTATTGTGAGGTAAAAAGAAACCTCACCCAAATTCATTGGAAAAGAAATTTTAACCTTGAATCATCAATAGGCAATAGAAAGGATCCAAATCAAATACAAAACCTATTGTACTGTTGCAACAAAGTTAAATGTAAACACAAGAAACAACACCTTATTTTCCAATTTGGCACTTTACAACCTTCCAGATTCTTTACTGAGTTCAATCGAATTTCATTTAATAATCTCTGACCCTTGCCATCTATTCTGCTAGACTCACCCATTCCTGTCCGATCTTGTTTTATTTTTCTCTTCTTTATGATTCTATAAAGGCACACCAGCACGAGCCATATTTTTTGTTTCTCATTTTACTCCATCAACACTCCTTTTGGCCATGCAAGATTCTTCTGTTCCTTAATCTTTCTGGCTTCCACCCTATAACAGAACTTCATTTGTCCTTTATTCTCACTCATCCGTCCTCAAAACGTATTAAATTTCAAACTTTTTCCAGTCCTGATGTAAGGTCATTAACCTGAAACTTTAACTGTTTCTCTCTTCATAGACGCTAACAGACTAGCTGGAAACTTCTAGCATTTTCCATATTTTTTTATTGAAGAAAGAGCAACAATGGGACAAAGACAGAGGTGGAATCTTATAAGAGTCAGAGCGACATCAGCTGTGGTGAGATTTATGGCAGAATCAGGCGAGAACTTCAGTTAGGCCCATCTCGATGTCAGGAGCATCTTGCTCCATCTTTTATGCTTTTGACAAGTAACATGACAAGTTTCTCACTTGGCAGCATTGAGTTGCCAAATAAGGAAAACGACTGCATATCAAACACCTTGTTAACAGTTCAACATGCCTTATGAATATTCCACTTGCCATTTTGCTGAACAGGTCAAACAAGCTAAACCTCAAAAAACTGGACATGTAAATCAAAGTGGCTACCTGGTGATTTCAGTGTGCAGTTTGCTCCGAACAACCTTCTGTCGCTTAGTATCAAACAGCATCTGACAGCACGATCCATGGGCACCAACCACATGCCCGCCTCACTCACAGACACTGACATCTGGGATTTGCCTATCTGACATGACCATCATCTCACTTCACTGATACGTTTGCCAGAAACTCAGGAAGCACAGACTTGCATTTCAGAATGCACTGGCAACTAGCATTAAAAGGCTGCAGTGGGGACATTCTGTGCACAATCATCCAACTCAAGGACTGGGCCATACTGCAGCTCAGGGCTGCTCATTTGCTATCTTAGCACTCACTTGCTCAGGATGCATTGGCATGCCCACAGGTTACATGTCTTGCCTTGCCATGTGTGACAATTCTGTGGCTTTAAGAGGTGTATTTTTGTCCTTTTTTTTAAAATTAAGAGAGGTTAGGACAGAGGTGCGGAACTGTCTAAACCAAGGCAATAAAGTAAACAGCTTGTGAGGCCTTAGGATTTCTTTTTAAAAGTTGAAACAATAGAAGCAGCATGGTTGGGTGGACTCAGGCTCCCACAGAACCAGGATTTTAATATAGCTTTCAGAAGTTGCTGGGTTTTGAGGCTGGTTGTTGAAGCTGCTATATCTTTCTCTCTGTTACAGCCAAAAGCTTGGATGCTCTTCCTGCTGCCAGAATTGCATGTGAGACAATCTGTTTTACTGAATTTGCCTTTGCCAAGGGTGAGTTTATAAGATGTTCTATATTGGAACAGTTGGTGTTTAGTAGTTAAATAACCTATTATACTGTTAAGTTTTCCAATAGAGCTAAGTCATTCCAATTCTTCTTTCTTTTGTTTGTTTTTTAACTATAAGGTAAGAATAAAGTATGTTTTGTTTAAAGCTGAATAGTGTAACCAATCATATTACCTCTGGAACACAGCACCTTACACTTGCCTTGAAACAAGATAAAAGATAGGGTCTAGTTATCTCCTTGTTATATTTGAAAGGGGTTTGGTCTGGTCCATAACACTTGCCAATTAGTACAGTCACAAGATTTCACTGTCTGGCTATCTAAAATAAAACACCAAGTGCTATGATAATGACTAGATAACCTATTTTAGTGATGTAAGTTAATAAATAATTGCCAAGACACAAGGGAGAACATCCTTACTCTTCTAAATTGTGCATTGGATCTTTTATATCCACTTGTTAGAGTGGATAGGGCCCAGTTTTCACAACACATCCACAAGACAGCATTTTCAACAGTGCTGCAACTCCCCTTGTAGACAGTGGAGTTTCAGCCCACAGTTTGTACTTAAATCTCTGGAATAGAGTTTGAACTTAAGAGAGACAAAAAATACTGCATCTTTTATTCATCTTCTGTTTGTTAGACCTTGCTGTGCACAATCTGTCTACCATATTTGCTTGCATTACAACAATGACTGCATTTCAAAACCAATCCACTACTAATTATTTTGAGACATCAGAAGCACACAATAAAATTCTACATTCAATGTAAATTATTTAAAACAAAAGCTTGACAATTTCATGACAGCTCTATAGGGTACACATGGTAAAGTCACCATAGTCTTACCAGACCATAGGGCTGCTGTCTCATTAGAGAGAGAGACACCTAGTGGTTATTTAACCTGAGGGCCACCATGCCTCAGGTGAGGGGAGAGGTTAAGAAGGAGAGTCCTTCATGGTAACCTTAGTCAGTGATGGGATTGAACCAATGCTGTTGATATCACTGTGCTTTGCAAACCAACCATCTAGCCAACTGAGCTAAACCGACCCCTGGAACACAGGGTAGTAGCTAAAAGACAGACATACATTTACATAACAGATGTCTCAAATCATTTTACAGGTAATAAAGTAATTTTGAAGTGTCGTCACTCCCTGCAATGAACAAAACAGATTAGAAAGGACAAGAAGGGTATAAAAGCCAACTCAAATCAGTCACAGATGGAGGATAATCAGGCGAGATATAGAGTTTCTAAGATTAAAGGTAATGTAGTTACAAAGACGAGTAAGGAAGTAGCAGAAAATATTAATGGAATACTTTAGCCCAAGTATTCACAGAGGAAGAATATTGGGCTTGTATAACTGCATCAGATACGTGTAGAAATATTATAGTGCAATTTAACATGATTTATGTGGTTTCAGCCCATCAGCTGGAGAACTGTTATGAAATTCATGTTCACTACTGAGAGGGAGACCTGACCTGTCAAAGTGGCCACAATCACACCTTCCCCTTGATTCAAATCCAGGAACAGAAATCCCACCCAACCAATCAGAGGCTCCATTACAGGTAGCTCCAATGGAAACAATGGCTGCACCTGTTTAACACAGTCAGCGAAAGGCCTAAGATTGCTCAGCAATCCAGGCCACAGGTGAGTAAAGTTGGACAGAGGTTGCAGGGAAGAGGTTAAGACTCTTGTTTCCCTTGATGGATCTGCCAAGCAGCATTCTGAAGGCACTGAAAAGTTGTGCCACTCATAGTAATCCTGGAGCCCCCACTATACTCCAGTTGGATTATGGCTAATTGGTGTCAATTGGCTTGCTAATGAACCTAACTGACAACCCACTGCAGCTGAGTAAATGTCCTCCTGAAGTCATTCCTGCCTCCAAATCAATTGTGGTAGGTTTCCCTGCTGACAGGAGACTGTGCGATCTTTCCCATATTTCAAATGGCCCTGGCTGCCATATCCAGCCCTTAGTCAATGTTATTAGTTAGAGCAAAATATGACAGAAGAAATTATTTAAACTTAAGGAACACACATTTTAAGCAGCTAATTATGGTCTTAAAAGTCTGTGAAATACTGTGGATACGAAATGCGTGTCAGTGCACTGCACAAAGGCAGTGTGACTTCTCTCTTTGAAAGTAAGGTAAAATACACTTGGAAATAATAGGCTAAATAATCTTTCTTCTGGTAAATTATTAATATCTATTTATTTCAGGGTGAAATTATTGAACAGTAACAGAAACAGAAGCCATTCAGGAGGTCACCATGGATTTCACAAGATTATGTTACGCTTGACCAATCGTATAATACTATTTAAACAGCATGGAATAAATTAAAGAAATTGGTTACAACAAGGTGCAGGGCTGGATGAACACAGCAGGCCAAGCAGCATCATAGGAGCAGAAAGGCTGACGTTTCGGGCCTAGACCCTTCATCAGAAAAGGGGGAGGGGAAGGGGGTTCTGAAATAGATAGGGAGAGAGTGGGAGGCGGAAAGAAGATGGATAGAGGAGAGGATAGGTGGAGAGGAAACAAACAGGTCGAAGAGGCGGGGATGGAGCCCATAAAGGTGAGCGTAGGTGGGGAGTTAGGGAGGGGATAGGTCAGTCCAGGGAGGACGGA